GTGTTTCCAATTGCCTTCATATTTCCACTCCTCTTCCAAGTAATAACTAATTTTTTTAATATATCATATGATCAAAAGTTAATTTCTCAACTTGACTGCAAAGTTGAGTTGTTAACCTGGTGATGTAAGAATCTGTTAACTTTGTGATATATAACGATTGTGTGTAAGCTAACTGCAGAAGTGCAGATTTGATCTCGCAATGTTGATATCGGTTTGAATGAGGAAAGTACAAATCCAAGGGGTAACTGGGTAAATGACGTTCATACAGGTGGAAGATTTGCAAGTATTGTGTAATGCTATTTTATACAACATCCAGCTAAGATTAGCGTGTTCTGGTAGTTACTGCAGGTGTTCTAAGATTAGTTGCTTTGAATTCAGAAGTTCTCATATCCAACGATAGAAGAAGCTTTCAATGTTGATTGGTCGAAAAAGCAATATATCCGAAAAAGTCGAAGGCTCATCCCATGCAGCTACTTCCCTCTCAAAGGTTAGTGATTTTTATAAAGTATAATCATGTTTGCTTGGAAAATATTTTAGCTATGCTACGGGCTCAGAAGGAAGAGAGGTTGGGAGACAATGAACTTACAAACATAAAAGTACTTACGGATCTGTGGACAGAAGAGGTATAACATTTGAATTAGTACAAATTCCTATATTGTTCGTTCATCACTAACTTTGCAGGTATTGAAATCTAATCATGAGATTGAGAACCAAACTGTGCAAGCAGAGAATTTTGACTAGTTAGTCTATATTTAGTTATTTTTTAAATGTTTTCATCGTGGTTATCCTTTGTGGGGTACCTTCTTCTTCGTCAAGTCGCGTGCTCTTAACTAAAAGGCTAGCCAAGCTACCTGATTTCATTATTCGTTGATTAAGTTTGAACGACGCGATTCATTCATTTTGTTCAAACCTTTTCTTTTGTCGAAGACGTGTCTTTCAAATGCGTGTAATCTAGAGTTCATGAACATAACGGATTTCTTGACTTACATGAGAACCACTGCTTGGAAATTTATTTAAAGAAGAGGAGTAGAAAAAAGAATGTTCACGAAAATTCATCAATGCAGTACCCATTCAAAATTGACTCGCGTGCATTTCTTCCTGTTTCGCTCCAGACGGGTTGGCATTCATGTGATAATAGGTTTTTACTTATTTTTAAGCTTCTTTGGACCGCAGCTATCTCCGGTATGCGCAGTCGTGGGGGGATTGGCTGGGCAAGAAGCGATCAAGGTAAATTTATCACCAATTTTTCCGCTCAAATGCGTTCACTCACATCACTTTCTTCTGGGTTCTGTAAGTTGTCAATATTTGTGTGCATTTCAGGCCATGTCAGAGAACGAACGTCCCCTCCAAAACATCTTCATATACTCCGCACTCGACTCAACTGGTACTATGTGTAATTTCCCACCTCCTTAAACACCTTCGTAGTGCAGAACATCCCGACTTGTCACTCATCACAACTTTGTTTTTCTCCGATCTCCGGTGCAACTTCACTGCTCCCATTGTCAGTTTATTATCAGTCTTTTTTGCTTTTTATTAAATAAATCTTAAATATTTTATACCTAACACCACGAACAATCCTTCTTGCATTTTGCTCTTCTCCATAACCACAGTAAGTGATCTTCTTTGGTTAGTGGCTGTAAAAAGGTTTGCTATTGAATAGGCCAAAAACCTTAAAAACTTCACCTTCTCCTCATTGCTGTCAAAGTTGAGCATTTTCATGTTTTGGCGATTCAAGTGTTCTACGAAGGTGGCTTTGAGGAACGACAGTGTGGAGGGAGTCATGCACGAAGCACATAGTTGGCATTCCTTAATTACGGTGAAAGATAAGCAGTTATAGAGATTTAGATAAAACCGAGAATCACATATGATGCTCATCATGATCTACACAGAAGAAAGCTATGTTTTTGTTTGACTAATAATAGTGAACAGCGGGTATCGTTCCGTTCCAACAGCACATCACTCAATTATTATCTCTAGGTAGGGTTTCGGTATTTGCACCATTTCAATGACATTTTGTCAATTACCTCTGGATCAAATTGAGCAATCTTCTAGTGAGAATACACATATCTTATCAGCAGTTAGTCAACATGTACAGCTCTTCAATTGTAATTTTTGGGCGAAAAGCACTTCTATTGAGAAAAAAAAATTCTGTGGTCTATCGTCCGTTCATGAAACATAGTTTCGCGCGGGAGCATTACAGCTATCGTCTGTGAAGTTTTCTTTGAGCTATCTGCCAAGCACCCGAGGTCGTCGCGAAATTTTTGTCGTTTCAACTGCGTACAGTTTCATGTTTAGCAAATTCAATTACAAAATCACCAAAGTCTTTGAATGAATTTAAGTGATAATTCAAAAAGAGCGATATTGCAAATACGCAAATACTTTGTTTTGGAATGGAGAAGGTGGACGTTTGATAACAGGAAATATTGTCCATTATATTGATGACATCTCTTTTTTGTTTTTCAGCGATGCTCAGACCAGTAAATTATTTCGACAGATCAACAGTTTACGTCAACGTTTTGGACGTTGTAGCCATTTGTGTTGAACAAATTCGGAATTCTGGTTCAGAAATGGGGTTACGCATGACGATGGGACACCCCATGACGATCATGGCCGGCAATATTGTTTATGAGATCTTCTAGTTTCCTAGCACAAACTACGCTTCTGAATAGTGCTTCACCACAGCTTC